GAGTATAGATTGGTATACTTGTTTTTGAAAGAAGACTCCATACAAATTGTTATTTTTTAAATGCATGGCCCTGAGCACCTACACACCATCTTTGCGAGGCCAAGCGAGAAGACAACCATGACAAGTGCGAGTTTGCTCCTCAAGAACTCGAGTACTAGGGCTACTATGAGATGCTGCAAGGCGTTCGTCCGCTTGCGGACAAGATTAAGGCTATTCAAGAATGGCATGAGACCACCAAAACCACAAAGGTTCGTTCAATTACGAGATTGGCCGGATACTACCAACGCTTCATCAGTGGCTACACATGGATTGCTGCATCTTTGACACGAAGGTGCCATTCAAGTTCAATGACGAAGCACAGGCTGCATTCTTGACCCTCCAAACCAGTATGCTCATGGCACACATTTTGCGCATCTATGACCCAACCTCGGCGACTCGAGTGGCTACTAGTGCCGATGCTTGTGGTTATGACATGGGTGTAGTTCTGGAGCAGCATGATGGGGACGATTGGCATCCGGTTGAGTACTTCAACCAAAAGGTCTCTCCCATCAATTCTATTGATGACGCGAGGAAAGAGCCGCTGGACTTCGTGGCGGTACTCAAGAGACAGCAGCACTTCCTCCTCGGACGCTGGAGGTTCAAGAGGAATACCGACAACAACCCACTGACCTTCTACAAGACACAAGACACTGTGAGCAACACCCTCGCCCGATTTGCGTACTTCATGGACCAGTTTCACTTTACCGTGCACCATGTTTCTGGTGCTTCCAACCGGGCTGCAGATGCTCTCTCGCACCGGCCGGATATTTGCACAATGACGCATCACACATTTGCATTGGATAAGAGCCTGCATGTTGTTCGAGGACACAAGTCCAAACCCCAAGTCTGGACCGCTTTATGAGGCACTCTCTTCAGAGAACACACCGGCAAGCCACTACCGCATCGCCAATGGTTTCTTCAACTTTCTTACTTCTTCATACACGTGCAAGGACTTGTTACTCCTCAAGATCGCTGCCTCCGAACTCACTTGGCGAATACCACGACTCACGCCTCATTGGCCACTTCCGAGATGATCGAGTGACTTTGACAACAGTTTTACTGGCCCAGCTTGTTGCCTGATGTCACCAAGTATTGCGAGGTTGCGAAGTTCGCAGGAAATGCAGACCTCGCAATCATAGTCCCTGCAGCGAGTTGTGACTGTTACCTACGCCGAGCGACCCCGGTTTATCTTTTGGTATGGACGTCAACGGCCGCTTTCCCCACAATCATGTCAGTCACAACGACATTGTCACGGTGGTTGACGGCTTGAGCAAACACGCTCGGATCCCGTGCAACCACCATACGAGTGCTCCTGAGCTTGCACGGATCTCGCACGGATCTTGCACACCAGCTAGATTTGCGGCCACGGACTTTCGGAGGATATTGTTAGCCACCGTGACACAGTTCATTTCTTTTGGACCACTCTCATACAGCAGTTTGGAAACGAAGTGAAACTGAGTTCAGGTCGGCACCGAGCAACGGACAACCAAACGGAGTGGGCACATCAAACCGTTCAAATGATTCTTCATATACTCTTTTGTCCATATCAGAAGGATTGGGTCTTCCGCCTTCCTGACATAAAGTTCGTCTACAGCGCTTCGTTGCATCCAACGATCGGCGTTACTCCATCCAAGCTTCACCACAGTGGTTGGAGAGGGTGAGTTTTTGCAGGCCGTTTTCTCCCTCATGCAACCGACATCGACGCCCTTTACACACATGCTTCCATTCACAAGATGCGGGAGTTGCTGGCCAAAGCCCACGCACACATGCAAAAGGCATAGGACCGTATGCAACAGCAAGCCAATTGACATTACCTGCCTCGTCCCATCCGTGAGGGCGACCTTGTATGGGTCTCCTCCGATGAGTTCGTACTTGAGCAAAAGGTGTATCTCACAAACTCCTCCCCAAATGGTTTGGACCTTGGTCCGTGCTTCTGCAGCTGGCGATCAGTGCGGGGGCCCTTTGTTCATCATCACATTGCCACTCCGACAACAAACGAATGCAGGACAAGGTTCACTCTGAATAATGCAATTGCAACAACACACGCTGGATCTCTCAAGAAGACTTGCAAGCCTCCCCACGAGACATCTACGCCCATTACGAGTTACAATGTCTTGCTAAAGGGGCTTCACAGCAGCAGACTGCAAGACCCGCCTGGACCTCGGTCCCCCGTTCCGGTTGACAATTTTCGCCCGTGCAAAGAGGGGGGAGTGTGGTATGCACGACTCCCACACGGGCCCTGTCAGGGCCCGACATTGATGCACGGATCGTGGAGGGCAAGTTGGGGGGGGAATTTTCTGTATTTTTTGGTAGTCTACATTATTTTCTGGGTTCATTTTTGTTGTGCTCAGTATTTTTGTCTGCTCCGGGTTCATTTTGTCTGTTCCCATTTTTGTCCAGTCTGGAGGTGTCGTTTCAGCATTTGTCCAGGCCGGTAGTTCTGGACTAGTTCGCCTGATTCAGGCCTAGGGGCCGTTTTTTAAGGTTGGCACAATCAGTCTGGGGCTGATCCCGTTTTGATTCGCCCCCTGAATTGTCCCTTGTGAGGACACCTCTGCTGGCTCAGCAGAGGGGCCGGGACATCCGGTTGGGACCCAGGCAAGCCGTTTTTGGCCAGGACTCAGGACCACAATTGGGGACTGCATCCTGGACCACCGATTGGCAATACGATCGGTCGGCCCACGACAAAGGCCGAGGCAGGAATCCAGTAGGCAAAGTGCTATATATATCTGGGCCAGCCTCCATTTGCGGTACGCAGCATTCTGAGAGTCACACGACCACGCTGCTGGGGCAGCGCTGGTAGTAGTAGTGCTGGAGAAGTGCAGCACTGCAGTAGAGTAGAGGCGATAGGCGGCTAGTGGAGTAGAAGACAGCAGAGGCTGGGACAAGGGGGGGATTTATCTGCTGCACCATTGTTGTATTCTCCATCACTGGGCACAAGCCCTTCACACCTATGGACATCAAAGGACAGCTCAAGATAACATTTTTTGCTGGTCAGGATCAGGTTCACTGACAGAGTGAGAGGAGATCTTCTTCTTCTTTCTACATTCTCTTTCTCCACCCTCCATATCTACCTTCTACATCTGTGTGCGTGCGTGTGTGTGTGTGTGTGTGTGTGTGTGTGTGTGTGTGTGTGTGTGTGTGAGAGAGAGAGAGAGAGAGAGAGAGAGAGAGAGAGAGAGANGAGAGAGAGAGAGAGAGAGAGAGAGAGAGAGAGAGAGAGAGAGAGAGAGAGAGAGAGAGAGAGAGAGAGAGAGCTCAGACTTGGTGACTATTCAGGTGATTGCCCAGACTCGTGCAATAAATCTCTCAGTATCCCAGTGGGACTGTCCACTAACTGTGTTTGCTGTTTCCTTGGTTTGGGCCTTGTGGGGCTTTATCCCGTGACCTGTAATTTGTACGTTAGGTTTGTTAGCTTCGAGCCCTACTGGCCTTGATCCTTAGACCCGTGGCTAGTAGTCTCTATTTGGCAATCTTAGACCCGTAGGCTTTGCTGTTTTGTCGTTTTCTGCAGTTGCTGAAGTCAACCCAGGACTTGATCCCATGACCTGTATAGAGTGTTTGTGGTGTTTGATTTTTTAGCATTATTGGGCTTGAACCTCGAACCTGTCGTTTGTAGTCTCTACTTCGTAGTCTTAGGCCTTTCAGCCTTGTTCTTTTGTCCTTTTCTGCCCTTCTGGAAACTGGTAAGCCCGGAAGTCTTTCTTTTGTGTGTCCTAGCCTTGGGTCCCCTTAGTCTAGGTTTCCATCTAGATGCATGTAGGTAGGTCTTGACTGTTTGGCTGTAGATGTTTGCTGTTTGGACGGTCAGATAGGTCTACAGGTGGTTGCTGTGTTGTAGGTCTAGGGAAGTCGGGTAGAAGCAGGCAGAGGCTGACTTGTTTGGGGTTCTTTTGGTTCTTCAGTTGCTTTTTTTCACAGTCTTGGTGGAGGTCGCGTTGCTTCCCTGCAGTGCTATTGTGGACATGTATGCAGGGCATCTTCTTCACATGCCGCCGGCGGCCATAGCTGGGGCTGGCCAGCTCCATTGTGACAGGGCTGGGCTCCGTGCCCAAGTGCTGATGAGCGCGTCCTCATATTTGTGTGCTTGTTGGGGTTTCGTCAGCTGCCACCGAAGCTGCATTCTCAGTGGTTCTTCTTCGATGAGTTGCTGTTCTTCTTCATCATCCCGGGAGCTGCTCTCCCCTGCTGAGTGGACACTTCATCTGCAGTGGGCTTCTTGAGTGGTGCAGAGAGGGGTGTTGGATTTAGGAGGGTGTGTGGTGATTGGCAGGCTTGATAGCATGTGTGCTTGCAAGTTGGATTTAGGAGGGTGTGTGGTGATTGGCAGGCTTGATAGCATGTGTGCTTGCAAGCACCATAGCTAGAGCTTGAGGAAGAGTGAGGAAGAAGAAGACTCCTGGATACTTCGATGAAACCTTGTAAATAATTGGTCCATGGGTGTTGAGAACGTGGTTGGGATCCTTGATTGACTTGGGGGGAGATGGTAATTAGATTTTTTTTTTTTTTTTTTAATAAATAAAACAGGTCCATATGGGCCCGGCTCCATTTCCATTCTGGGGAGCATCAGTCCGGTTCCTATTCCACCGGCAAGTCAGAATAAAACATTACATCATGAAACCCACTCACGCTTCCTTCCGTCCGACCGAAAGATCCCTGACCAGCATTGATTACTCCAACATCGTGGAGGATTGACTGTTCGCTTGCCTTACTTCCTCCTTTCCTCTCAGGTCTACTGCATGGCCTGTCAGATAAATGATAAAAAGCAAGAAAGGTAAAAGAAGCCACCGAAGATGCAAAATCGGATTACGCCCTCCAACATTATGTGACCTGTGATGAAGCTAGTCCTGCTGCTGGCAGGAAACTCTGCCTTCTCCTCCCTGTTTCTGAGTTGTGCCAGTCTTTCCACCGTAAGCAAGAGTCAATTATCTCTGCCACTTTGCCCCTTGCAAGCCACACCTCAGTGAAATATGCCTTGATTCTCTTTTGTTGCTCTTTGTCATCTGGCATGGATTGTCTTGTCTTGTGCCACTTGCAAAGAATCTCCGCCTGAATCAGGGTCCTTGTCTCCGCCCATACCTTCTCCCTTGGGGAAAATGGTTCTGCAGCACCTTTCCTTCCAGATGGACCACGGCGTCTTCTCTTCTCTTCTCTTCTCTTCTCTTCTCTTCTCTTCTCTTCTCTTCTCTCCTCTCCTCTCCTCTCCTCTCCTCTCCTCTGCTCTTCTCTTCTCTTCTCTTCTCTTCTCTTCTCTTCTCTTCTCTTCTCTTCTGTCCTCTTCTGTCCTCTTCTGTCCTCTCCTGCTCTCCTCTCCTCTCCTCTCCTCTCCTCTCCTCTCCTCTCCTCTCCTCTTCTCTCCTCTTCTCTCCTCTCCTCTTCTCTTCTCTTCTCTTCTCTCCTCTTCTCTGCTCTTCTCTCCTCTCCTCTCCTCTCCTCTCCTCTCCTCTCCTCTCCTCTCCTCTTCTCTTCTCTCCTCTCCTCTTCTCTTCTCTTCTCTTCTCTTCTCTTCTCTCCTCTCCTCTCCTCTCCTCTCCTCTCCTCTCCTCTTCTCTTCTCTTCTCTTCTCTTTAAACAGTTCCTTATGGTCCTGGCTCCATATCCATTCTGGGGAGCGTCAGTCCAGTTCCTATTCCCCCGGCAAGTCCATACCCACTCAACGCTTCCTTCCGTCTGGCTGAAGGACCCCTGATCAGCATTGATTGCTCCTTCTAAGGAGGATTGACTGTCAGCTCGCCCTGACCATTTGTTCCACTCAGGCTTCTATTTAGAGCCTGTCGAATGAGTCCCTGTAATACGAGAACAGTGGGGGGGTCCGCTCTGTGTTCTGTTGCTTGTCCTTGTCTTTCCCTGTGTGTCCGGTCCTCTTTTTGTTGA